CTCCCTTTTTCTCTCTCTTTCGCCCTATCTCAGAGAACTTATCTAAAAGGCTAGTATTTGTTACAGAATTACTAATAGTAAAATCCATAGCTGAGATCATGCAGAAAGAAGTGTCTCACTTACAAATGACCGAAGCTCCGATAATATATTAGATATTGTTGCATTAGGATCATCATATTCTTGAGGCTGCTCAAAGGATCGTCCTGTTTTGTTAATCAGCCATGCAGCAAGAGTGCAAAACATGTAGAACTGTTCACCAGGGTTGGTAGGCAGAGCAAAATAGTGTCTGTTTCAAGGCAAGGGAGGGTGGGGAGGGGGTGAAACAATGCAAATAAATCTATAAGAAGTAATGGAGCCAATTGCAAAATACTAAAGAACCTGCTGCCTTTCCCCCAAAATAGGCTCAATCCAAAAGATATCAATATTCACTCTGAAGTATCCAGTGATCCATATCACTCACAGTAAAGTTTTGAACCAGCATGATTATAGCAATTACTACTGTATACAAAATGTTAGATCAAAAGCTTCACAGGGAATGGAATGTAGTGTATTTTAGAGAACAAAGCACATAAAGCTTTTGCTAAAACCTCTTAAGTGATTAATAATTAGTGAGTTCTTCATAAAAATGGTAATTTAGAACTATTCTAATTTAAAAGAGATATTAAAGATTATTTACTATGTGCTTTTACTGTTTGTAACCTATCACCTATGTTAAACAGTAGATTTTATACTAGCTGCATATTCAAATCAACTGAGGAGCTCCTAAAAAATACTCCTACCTGACCAAACTTAGGCACTTTCCCCACAATGGATTACATTGTAACTTGTACAAACAGAACCCACTAGAAATATATTTCAACAGCTCCCTGCCTAGATGGTTCTAGGTGCTGAAAGGATTAAGAACTTCACACATCTCCCAGTATAATGAACAATTGCTAACTTGGATTAGAACTTTTACTGTACTAAATAGGCTCCTATTAGGATATTATTTATATCAAGACATGATAGATTTTAAATATGTTTTGATAACATCATTCAAAAAAGTTTGGTTAAGGTTCTGATTTTGCTTTCTTCTTGTAGCTATCACTACTAAATTTACAATACTGGAAATGATGTATACAACCATTACAACCAGTGGTCCACAGTTCCATGTTTTACAAAATTCCCCTCAAATAAGTATAAATGTTCTAGAAGATAGGAATTTTGGAATTTTTAAAGGGCCACAAAGGCTTTTCAGGAATATGCTGGCAATATTTTCAAAGAACCTACCCACCAACAACTCTTTTTGTCCTTATCAACTCAAGGACAAGGGAATGCTTACTGACAGATACTATAGACCCGGGGTGGTGATTCTCAAGTATTTATGTACATCCCAATTACCTTGAAGGATTGATAAAACAGATTGTTGGTTTCAGAAATATCTAGAATTCCTGAGACAGATGTGAACAAGGGCCTGGGGAATGTCAGCCCCACACCCCCAGATGATGCTGATTTTCTGGTCTGGTAATGACATTCTGAGAACCACTGGACTAGATTATCTCCACACAAACCCATGATTCAATGTATCCTGTTCAGCCTCTGAGGAAATAGTACAGACACGGTATTAATGGAATCTTAAGGTTATTTTCTTTTAGTTTGACAAATACATTTGGAAAAATAATGATCTCAATCCTAAAAGTTCTCTTGTGGATCAAGATCAAACTTAAATTTCTAACCTCTTTCCTATTACAGACTAATTCATAAATATGTTCAGTTTACATAAAAGACAAAATAGCATTCAACTCAAGTGTCTAGAAGCAATCAGGGGAAATGATTTAAGCCTAGTAACAGTACTCCAGCTTCTTCATCTGAATTGCCTCTTATAGAATAAAACAAATGTAAGCATGAAGGCGAAGGAAAAGCAAAAAAAAAAAGGGGGGGGGGGGGATGACCCTGCCGTGATTATCTAAGGGGGTGCTAACTCCATTACCTTCGGCAAGCAAGTTAAGCCTCTACTTTCGAAATAATATGAACTTTTTCCCACCACAGCAAGCACAAAACTTTGGTTCTCTAATCAGGGCAGTTCCAAGAGTTATTTCATTTGTCTTTTCCACTTTTCAGTTGCGAAGAATATTGTTATTGCAAAAGTCTTTTGGATCACAGCAATTAATCCACAAGTTTACTAACTGCATATAAAGTGCTCCTCGGCAAGGTCCTGGGTACTACAGTTGTTAGATACAAAGTCTAGCAAAGGAAAAGAGATATCAGAAGGAGCCCTAACCATACCAGCATTCATTTCTAGGTCAGACTGTGGGTGCTAGCCTTTTTCTATACACTGTCTTGTGTTTTTCTACCTTTTCTCTAGTGGGTACTTTTATTACCTTTGGCACATAACTTGTGTTTGGTCACAGTGCATGTGTTTTTGAAAATGGCCAGGCTGTCTTCCAGGCCTTCGTAGCGGTCCAAAACTTGCTTACACTCTCTACAGAATGACCAAGTGGGAGTTGCACCGCCCGGTGCTGGAGTTTCCGGAGTGGGCCAGCTCAAGCTAGCAGGACACAGCAGGGGCCGAGGAGGGGGCTGCGCACGCACCTGGAAGGCGGCTTCAGGTTGCTCTTCCAGAGGATCTCCTCCTCATAGCGGAGCAGCTTCAGCTTCTCCACCAAGTCCTCCATCACCACGAACACGTGGTAGGCCGCGCCGGGCCCGCGCTCCACCACCGCCTCCCCTGCGCCTTCGCCGCGAGCCCGAGACACCCCATCCTCCAAGCGCGACGATACCGCGGCCGCCATCGCAGCACAGACCTACAGCGCCCGGCGTGGGCTCCCGGCCTCGGCCGTCCACACCTCGCAGCCTGCACGGCCGCCACCCGTTACCAGGCGACCGCAGGGCAACTGGTCTCCAGGGCAACTAGACTCCGCCTCCTCCCCGCCGGACCTGCCTCTATGAAGTCTTTCCAACCAAGGCGCGATTCCTGCGTGACGTCACCCTGCCCCCCAGCGGCTCCGCCCACTGTGGCTTAAAGACACAGGACCCGGGTTCGCTTACCTGCTCTGCAAGCTCCGTGCTGGAAGAGCAGGAGTGCTGGACGAGATGGTTTGCTCAGGGCCGCTGAAGGAATGGGCACCTGGGACACCTGATAGCAATTTAAAGGCTTCCAGTGAGGAGAACCCCGGTACTCGAAACTACACTAATCCTTGTTTCATTTTCTCAAAATGGAATGTTTACGTAGTAGTTACGAAAGCGGTTTTATTTAATTTCGCTTTACCTCAGGAGTTCCACAAGAAGGCTTTTGTTTTTGTTGTGCACTTAATCGTTTATTAGGTAATGCTGGCTTTAATAGTGTACTTTAAGGCTTGAAGTACACTACCCCTGTCTTACTCCAATGTAAGGAAAGTGCTTGGTTGGAAGTGGGTGGGGAAAAAGACACGTGGAGGTTGAGGGAGAAAAGAAGGCTTGGGGAGGGCAGTCTACCAACCCTCTTATCCTCCTTTATAATCTGTTCCAAGACCAAGCAGGAGGAAGTTGTTGAGTACTAGTTAAATCCAACAAGCTAGACTATCCCGAATGTATTATCTGTGTTACAGCCTGTTTACTACTGTATTATGCAGCGACTATGTAGAAAATGTAAGAAAGGGACATAATGACTCTATATATGACTCAGCTTTACAGTTCTAAGTCATCTACTGCAATTTTCCTAATAGCTATGAGAAATGAGGTGAAAGGTAGATTACCTGGTCATCCTTAGATATCTTAGAAGCAAGAGGTGGAACAGGTGTTTGTGTTTAAGCCTATGACTTGAAAGGCATCATTATCTCTTGTATCACGCTTTTAAGAATGTAGAAGAATCACATTTTTGACATAACTAAAATTTAAATGTAAGATCTTTGTTTTGTGAGAAAAATGAGTTCTTCTTTCCCTTTCTTAACCTTCTTAGACCAGTGATTCTTCCCAAGCATGTCTATCTCCAATGACCACATTTAGAGGCTGAAGCCATTGTGGTACATCTGTATAACCTTCATTGTACGAGATAGATAAATAAGCTTTTTAGGAATACAGCGACAACCTCGAAAACATTCAGATAGATGTTTTGTGGCACTTCATTAACCAACATATGATATGTGGCTTTTACATGATCATTGAAAGACTCTGGAACAACAGAGATAAGTTGTTGACATCCAATTCAATGGTGTTTGTGCAGGGCATGCTGCCTACATAGGATGTTCTGGCATGCTCAGGAAGATACATAGCACAGTCTGAAACCAGAATTTGGCTGACATTCCAATAATATCTGCATTTTAACTTGAAGATAATATCTCTTCCAGAATCCAGGCATTTCCCTCCCAGGTTCAATGCTGACTCAACCTGGTTTGGAAGCAGCATAAGTCAGTACCCCTGTAATTGTGAACGAAAAAGAAAAAAATATATAAAGTATTCCCTGGTAATTTTGACACATAGATATGAAAAGAAAGAAAGGCCAATTCTTCAGCACTGCAGATTTTCCCACAGGGAAAAAATAGGAAAGAACATGGAAATCTCATTCATCTTTACAAGGTCCAATGATTGCTTGTACTGTTTCCTTATTTATCTGTAGTAACTAATAACACGCCAAAAGGTCTTTTCCTTAATGGAAGTGGTTTCCTTTAGGAAAGTATGTGCTCAAATCCTCTTCTAGCTAGCTACTTGGAAGTTCTGGAGTATATTTTTAATAGCTTTTCTATTTTTTTTTTCTCAAAACCAACTCTTTGACTAAGGAGTTGTAGAGTTTGAAGAGAATGTCATGTGGAAGTATGCTCTACTTCCTACAAAGAATCTTAAATTCAGGCCTCAATTGACCACTATTTGTAACTGGGCTTCTGATCTTGATTGTATTTCCTGTAAACCATCTGTGAAATGGCTAGAAGTGATTTTTAAGACCCTTGAGGTCTTTCTTTCTGTGAGCTAATTTCTGAAAACCAAACAGAATCCCAGTCACAGCTAACTGAAGCTAAATGTTTTCCCTGAAACGTACTTGTGAGGCTGGTGGTGAAAAGGATGGCTTTCCAGTGGGTACAACTTCAAGATGGAGGAAGGTGTTCCAGGGCAGTCTTCCAAGATAGGAACAAGTCTTGCAAGAGGGTTGAGCAGACTTAAAGAGCAAACTAGCTCTGTGTTAGGTAGGGCTAGTGGGAGGGGTTTGAGTCATGGAGACAAGGCTCTAATGACTGTATAAAAGACCTCATCGTGGGACTATATTAGCTGTAGTGGGAATTTGATCCGTATTCTTTCTTCCATATGCTGTTTCACTTCTGCATTCTGCCATCAGTTGACACAGCATGAGACCATCACCAGAAGCTGGTCAAATGCCCATGCCATTCTACTGAACTTCCCAGACTGCACAACCAAAATCCATATAAACTTCCTTTGCTTATAAATTTCTTAGTCTCGGCTATTCTGTTATAGCAACAGAAACCATCTAAAATAGCTTCTTTGTGTTGTAAATGGCTCAGTTTCACCCATTTGGGATATTAGAAACTTAGAAAATCATAATTAAATAAAACTTCCTTGAACTATATGAATGGAAACCTTTTTATTTAGTCTCTCTGGTTTTGTGGCTGGATCTGAGAATTAAATTATGTACTGATAGTTTAACAGAAGAAAAACATACAAATTTAATTCAATAGCTTTCTGTGCATGTAGAAGCCTGCTTAGAAAGAAGCTAGCTATGATCGAAAGCATATGTATTCTTTTTTAATTAATACAAGGATGGTACATTTGTAGAGAAGTGGCAAGACAAAGGAAAATTGTATTTAAGCTTATAAGGGTAATCAGTTGTGGGAAAACGACTAGGAAATATGTGTTTGAAACTAATGGAAGATAAAAGTTATTTAATAGGTTTATCTATATGGACTCATTTCAGCATCAGCTTCCAGTGTCCAGTAATGAAAGAACTATTCTCTTCTTGGTACAGGGAGGGAATCTTTCTCATGGGAAATTTCACGACATACTTTTAAATAGAAATTGAAGTTTGAGAGTGTGTCTGCTATTTCTCAAGTGCCACCCACTCAAAACAATAAGCTATAGTAACATAATCTAGGTGGCATGTTCTAAATTCCTTCAGTATGATAAAAAAAAAAAAGTGCTAAAATTCTAGAAACAGGGGCTGGGAGATGGCTCAGTGGTTAAGAGCACTGGCTGTTCCTGCAGGAGACCTGGGTTTGAATTCCTGCACCCACATGGCAGCTAACAGCCATCATAACTCCAGTTCCAGGCTATCCAACTCCTTCTTCTGACCTCCTTGGGCTCTGTAAAGCATGGGTGCACTTACATACATGTGGGCAATATACTCATACTATCACACAAAAAATAAATAAAATTTTTTTTAATTCTAGAAATAAAGGTCATATGTAAATGTGAACATTAGAAGAATCCTCTGTGAAGCACAGTGAAAACATGCAACGAGTGAGACATGGTGGTTAGCGCAGCAGCAGGAGTTGCCAGTGACATAATCGGGGCAATCCACAAGAATCTAGAGAGAAGCTATGACTCTAGCTCCATATTTCCACATCAAATACAAACTAAAGGTTTACTGGAGATAGAGAAACAAACAATAAACTCAGTAACGAACAACATATTACACCTGGAAATAAAGCTCTCATCTTTATGGAGAAACTTGTTAAACTTCATGGGAAATCCAAATTCATATACTTTTCTTGATGAGACTATCAGAATTTTCACTCAATTTCTAAATTCCAAGTCATTTGAGCTAAAATTCTAAGAGTGTTGACCCAACGCTTTATACTTAAGAGTACATTTTAAAGAAATATAAAGATGGAATTACAATGTAATGTAGCAGATTTTCTAATAAAAATCAGTAATGCCATAGGAATGAATAAGAAATAGCCTGGAAACAGTCAAGGATTTTTTATGGAAACTCAGCATTAAGGAACTGATATTACCAATTAGCAGAAAAAGATGAACTAGAGACAAAATGTTGAGAAACTACTAGTTATCTATATGGAAAGATGGCTTTTCTGATTCCTATCACTTTTATTCCAGATGGACTGAAGATGCCAGTGTGAAGCATGTGTAATCTCTTTATAAGAAAGCAAAGGATCATTAACTTCAGGAAAAGACTTTTCAAAAAAGAAATAAATAGAAAAATGTAGGAGTAAAGCTCATCAAAATTTAGATGCCTAGGTACAAAATAAGACCATATAGTGACCAGTGAAGGTGTTTGTGATCCATATAATGTCAGTGGATTGGTTTCTAAGGTTCACTGACTCCATGGTTTAATTTTCTTGGGGGAAATGAACTACATGTGTGAACTCATGAGTATATAACCCCTGTGTAAGTAATGGGAGTGAATAAGAAATTCAAGTAGTATTTGTGTTGGGGAGTAGGAGATAATGTGATCTTAGTGTTCTGTCAATAATGCAGAGAAGGGAAAATAGGAAGGTGATAATTGATTCTGAAGAAATTTTGCATAGTTAGGTAAAATATGTTCTTAAACTGGGATACATGGCAATTAGAATTGTGAAAAAGATGACAGTTCACACATTTTAGGAAGTAAATTTAGCAAAACTTATATCAGGTTCAATAAGATAGGTTGTGGGACATAGAGTTTCCCCATTTAGGGACAAGAAAGCTAGATTTTATGCTCTTGTTTCACTGTGTGCTATGAGCTTCTGTGAACACCTGAGGGTGAGGTGACTCATTGGTGAGAAATATGCAGCTGGGAACACTGATCATGCAATAGTCATAATAGCTAGAATGGCTATATTACCATGAAAGAAACATCGGAAAGGCAGGGTCAACTTTTATGACAATGGTTGACATTAAACTTAGTTTTTAATTACATGTGTATGAGTGCACGTGGAAGTGCAGTCGCCCATGGAGTTGGCTGAAAAGGGTGTCAGCCAATCCCTTATATGTGAGTATATATCCT